GAAACAGTTCTTATCTAAGATAAAGAGCTACAAATAAGATAATTATGGTATTTAGGCATCCCAGACAGAAGCGAGGCTGGTGGTGGAGGAGTGAAATGCCTGGCAGGATGCCCCAGGCAATCTCTTTGGAAAGCAAGAAGACAAGGCAAGAGAGATGACTACCCCAGTGTCTAAACTCAGGGTTGTAAAGGCAGACCCGAGGGCTTCCCCCAGTTGTCTCTCTGATGAACTTGCCCTGTGGAGTTACAACTTTACTTCAGTCCAGTCACATAATGCTGGCTTGGACAAGGGCTGATTCCCAAGAAGGAGAATGCGTAATGCCCTCTTTCACCTGAAGAGGGCTCACCTTAGCCCCTAGCCCAGCCACACTGAAACGAAGGTCAGGCCAGCTTTCTGGGATCAGCTTCTGACCCTGTGAAATGATGGGTCTCACTAGACCTGGGCACATGAGCCACGAGCCCATGCCACTACTGAGCACTGCAAACCTGGCTAAGCACCTAAAGAACTGTGTTTCCACTTTTATTTAAGTGTAACTAAAGATCAAATTCAGAAACTAACATTTGATTCAATTATTAGAAAGGTTTTTAACGTATTTGGAATAATATGAATCCGTGGTTTCAATTGCAAACTTTATGGAATCTAATTACATCTCAAGTATTTCCAATGAAAATTTAGTGCCTGAAACGGGGTATGCTGTCAATGTAAACTATAAACAAGATATTGAAGACATTTAGTATATACACGAGGTCCAACAATTAAGTTTGTGAACTCATCCTAGAAAAAGTGCTACATAACTTGTTGATGAATATCACTGTAGTCACCTTCATGGAAGGAAGTCCTTCCCTTGGGAAACTATGCACCAATTCCAGTGCCTAGTCACCCCATCAAAACAAACGTAGAACTCTTTTTCTTGAATGGCCATCAGTGTTGTTGTCGAATTACGCTTGATGTCCTGAATGCCATCAAAATGTTTTCCTTTCAAAATTTCCTTCATCTTCAGGTAAAGAAAAATGTCATTGGGGGCCAGATCAGGTGAGCAGGGAGGATCTTCAGGTAAAGAAAAAAGTCACTGGGAGCCAGATCAGATAAGCAGGGAGGGTGTTCCAATACAGTTAGATATTTGAACAGTGCTGCCAATGTAAGAGCAGAGTGGCAGGTTCTTGAACTTAATTGTCAGACCTCAGCAAACAATGATAACAGCTCTGATGACCATTCCAGAAAAAGAGTTCCAAAATTGCTCTGACATGTGGACTAGGCACTGGCGTTGGTACATAACTTCCCAAGGGGAGGACTTCAAAGGTGACCATAGTGATATTCAGTAGTGAGGTATATGGCACTTTTTCCAGCATGGTTTGCAGACCCAATAGTCAGACCTCATATATATGTAAAAGAACAAGCTGGACGTGGTGGCTCACACCCAGGTCATGTGGATTCCCTCGACGATTTGCTCTTTCAGCTTTTATAACTGTGCCCTGCTCTTGGGTAGTTAGAACCTGTACCAGCCCGGATGACACAGAGACCCGGCTGAGCAGAAACATGACCCCTCTTCACTGCAGCAGAGCCTTGCCCTCATGACTGTTCCCAAAAACCCCAAAACATTGCCAGAGTAGCCTTCATGCACGGACACGTGCCATGGTTCCTGGAATACAGTGAGTACTTGTTTTTCCTTCTTTCTTATTCCTCTGATATCATCTCACCCTTTATTTCACTGATGCCTACTGAGGCCTGTTCTCATGCCAGGCCCTGTGCCAGGCATGAAGATGAAGAGCACACATCCTGCCCTCAGGAGATCACAGTCCAAAAGGAAGACATGCAGACAGATTAAAGACAGTGTGTTGTGGGGAAACACAGACTATGTTCACAGTGCAGGGAGGGGAGTCTGTGAGAAGAGAAGCGACTGGAGAGCTGACCCAGAGTTCTCCCAGAGGAAGGCAAACAGAGAGCCTGCTTTCCAGGCAGGAACCAGCACATGTGTGGGGCATGAGTCCCCAGGTGCCTGGGGAAAGTCAAGGCGTCTGATTTCTTGGATGCAATAAATCAGATACAATAAGGGGTGGGAGAGTAGTGGAGAGAGGGACATGTCCAGCGAAAGACCGCAAAGCTCCCATGTGTGAGACGTTGTGAGGAGAGGAGGACCGAGAGCTCGTCACAGCTGTCGACAGGCTGTGAAAGTGTCCTCCTCCATCCTCCAGTCTGGCTGGCCTCTCTCCAGCAGGTAGAAAAATCCCCATACTCCAGGACCCGTGCAGAATGTGGCATTTCCAGGGACACCTAGCATCACCTCTGTCACCCAGCAGTACTTGTTGGGTAAGCAGAAGACCAGGTCCCCAGCCACAGAACCCCACAGTGGTCTGCAGAGAGATTCCTGATGGGCAAGGAAGGCGCCATCGGCAAGGGACTGCAATTTCCCTCCTTTCATACAACTTAGGAGTACAGTCATGTGTCTAAAGCATTTGGGGGTAAAGACATCCCATACCGGGTCAAGTTCCCCACACCCAGTCATCTCTCTCTGGGACACATGGCCTCAACCGAGAGGGAAGGTGAACCTTGCTGAAAAACCAAGTTTATGGAGGCTTTAATCCTAAGTCTCCCTTGTGGAGTTAATTTTCTGAGTATTTCTCATCACAGTTCACTGAAATCACAAATTAACATCCACTCTGAGGAAAACGCTCATTACAGCACACGTCAGAGAAAGGAGTCTTAAGCTTGGGAAGATCCAAGCACCTTCTCTTACACTTTATAAAGTAAAAAGGGGGTGTGTAGCAAACTGAATGGACTGGAACCCCATCAGAGGTAGAACAAAGGAACACCCCGGGAGAATTAGTTCAAACAAGTTGGCCATAGTCAAACACTGAGTTACAAAACAGTGAGTTACGAAACAGTCAGCATATGTCATGTACACCGTCAACCCCTTTGCCAGGAAGCTCAGTTGTCAGCTGCTTCCTGCCTCGGGAGGCTACTGTCGTCAGGAAGTCATCACCACAGCTCAGAGCTCACCCATGAGCCAACCCACATGTGCCACATGGCCACTGGCCACTCTGCTGGGCCCTCCTACCAACCTTCCACATACCAGGAGACCCTTGAAAGCGGGTAGCTGGGCCACTGCAGTTGGCTAAAGGCCAAGCATCACCCATGGTGAGGGGCTGGCAAGCTGAACCCAGAACTGAAAGCTCTCCTGTCCAAGTCCATCAGAGGTCACTTGAACATCAGAGCTACAGTAGCGCCCGTGGCTTCAATTCTGTATTGTGGGATTGGAACCCTCTAAATGCCCATCACCACAAAAAAACTCGACAGGCCTTGTGAACAAAACAGAAAGAACTTCCACCAAGAGCTGAGAAATAAATTCCTCCTTTTCTGTGGAGTGGACCGCAGCACCAAGAGAGCACCCAACTCTCGCTGCAATGATACAGCTTTTGCCCTTGATGGGTCCCAGTTCAAAGTTGAGAGTTGATGCCCTTTATCCTTAATTTATCTGTCCTTATAATATTGCTTTACCACTTCTAATACCATAAATACACACTTTAAAAAAACAACTCTTTCTCCTATTTCAGTTGGATGAAGGTATGTTATGGGTAAAATTTGTGGCTACATAAACACACCTCCCGCTACCACTACTTCGAGCTACCTCGAGCAGCAAATTAAACCAAACACATCTTTTGGATGGGTGGCGAAGATGATTTTAATGACCTTTCTGCTTTTATCTGGAGGCCGGGGTAAATTACATAAACTAATTTTCTGTCTCCTGCCCCGTGAACAAACAGGTCTCTTTTGCTGGGTTGGTCGAGTTGTAACTTCACCACCAGAGGGTGCTACTTGTTTGCTTCTAAAATTGATCTCACTCTAGGGCTTGCACAATGGAGGTACTGAGCCTGAAGAACCAACCCCCAACTGCTTTGGGAGAGGTTTCCAGAATGTTAGAGGCAGTGAGGGATTTCAAGGAGTCAGATTTCACTTTGATCTTGAAATGATGCACTGAGAGCTAAAGATCTGTAGCTCACACAAAGCAAGCTGCTCTGATTCATTAATTTTCTGTAAACCAAGCAGGGAATGTTAACCGTGTTTTGTTGCCCTGGATTTTGTCTGTATTTACAGGGTAACACCAAGGAACCCGGAGCTCTAGTAGCCTCCTCACCGCACTGTGCAATCAAATTGTAAAGTAAGAAGAAGGTGTGCTTTGTGGGAACAACAATGTCCCTCTCTAACAATGAGCCTCTCCCTCAGCCTGTATGCACATCTCTCTCTGCTATCTGCATAGTGTTGCTTGGCATACTTCTTTACTTCCAGTAAGGGTCTGATTTACCACCTTCCGCTTCTCTCAGGAGTGTACCATTATGATTCAGTGAGATTGGCACGTGCATGTTCCACTTGGTATTTTCTGGACTACACAAAGGAGACTTGGTGTGCACTTCACTTGCATGGAGCTTGCAGAGAACATATTTCTACATAGTGGTTAGTAACCCTTGTGTGTTGTCATCTCAACCTGGCAAAGCAAATCCAGGGTCAGCAGAGATTCTCGGTAAAGGGCCAGGTTAACTTAAAGATGTCGGGTTCTTTCACTGTGACTCAACCTTACCACTGTCAAGAGGGTGGCCACAGCTGTACACAGCTGGATGTGGTCACAGTCCAATAACACTATTTCTGGAGACAGGTGGTGGGCTACAGTTTGCCAACACTTGCAAATGATGTACCTATTCTTGTTGATAAAATTCAGACGAGTTTTTACCACTGTTCTTTGGCGATTCTCATCCTGCTCACACAGTTTTGATGTAGCACACACACTCACTAGGTTATCCGCTTTAAACCCTTAGAGGAATATCACTGGGTTTCGTCTTCATAGGTTTAAAAACCAGAACTAAAGGAGCCTTTGGCTTCCAAAGTGTTTTCATGTTTGTGTTCTGTGAAGATCTTTTGTGGTAAAGTATGAAATCAATGAGAAGGATGTTACTTGCTGGCAATTTCTCCAGAGATAATATGGAAAGTAAACAAAAAACATCATTTACCTTCAGACTGATGTGTTGCAAGTGGAGTCTGGGTCTCCTTCGAGTAGGACACTACTTCCCTTGGCAGGAAGTCCACTTGGGTGACCTTCGACACACCCAGCTTATGCAATCTTCTTCTGCAAGTGATAGAGAACAAATGCTCAGGAAGGGAAGGCATTCCCTGCAGAAGAGCTATCAGTAGTCAAGCAAAGCAAAGCACTAAAACAAGCAGACCACAAACTTCTTCAGTGTATCAGTGCCAGAGGCAGGCCAGTGAAACAGAACTGACCCTGGGCTGGCTTCTGGGATACTTGGGTTCTTGGCCTTTGACCCTAATTTACTGAGTAATGTCAGATAAGACCCTGATGCTGGCCCTCAGCTGTCCTATCTGTGAAATGAAGCCCTGGTCCAGCTCAGACAAGAGCTCCCATTGTAAGCATCCCTGCTTCTTCTTGGTTAAAATCTGTAAAGGGACCTCTCCTTTGCAGCACAGGATCCTAGTCACAGGCAAAAGGGAAAAAAGAAAAGTAATGCTTCTCCAATTGGAGGAAAGAGAATTGGGATCCTTAGCGGAGTGATACATTCTCCATGACATCAGCAAGATGGTCATATTCTAAGGCAGAGTTTCTCCAGAAGAGGAACTAACACAGATCAGTACGTGAATCTGTGTGAAAGACACACTGCTACAGCACAGATGGAGAACATGGCATCCAGTCAGAGAGTTGGCATCTTGGCACAGCATCCCAAGACCACGGAAAAAACTATGTCTCGATATGATATTTATGTGGCACTCCTAGAGTATTCAGATGTCTCCTCCTGTCCTTAAAAAACCTCTAGGGAATGTGTGGTAATGCAGTCATCTCCATTTTATAGGTGAGGTAAGTGAGAGTCTGCTTAAGACACACACCCAAGCATATGCAATTCATCATCGACAGACACAGGGTGAAAACACTACTGACCTAGGCCCTGGTCAAGTCTCCACCAAGCCAAACTCCTATCTGTGGTTCTTATTGGTGAGTAGAGACAGAGTCTCACACTGTCACCCAGGCTGGTGTGCAGTGGTGTGATCACAGCTCCCTACAATCTTGATTTCCTGAGCTCAAGCAATCTTTGTGCCTCAGTCTCCCAAGTATCTGGGACAATGGGCATGCACTACTACACCCAGTTAATAGATAGATAGATAGATAGATAGATAGATAGATAGATAGATAGATAGATAGATAGATAGATAGATAGATATAGGGTTTTGCTATGTTGCCTGTGCTGGTCTGGAATTGCTGGCCTCAAGTGATCCTCCTACTTTGGCCTCCCAAAGTGCTGGGACTACGGGTATGAGCCTCTGCATCCCACCAACTGGTGAGTTCTGAGTCACTGCAAAATTCTAAAGTGCTTCCTGAGACACCCAGAAAGCATCTGATCATGGAGGCCGTATTGTCTACTGGTTGGACACATTAGCTACTAGCCCTACCACTCACCAGCTGTGAGTCTTATCTTGAACAAGTTACTAAGCTCTCAGTGCTTCCATTTTCTCATCTGTAAAATGGAGATAATGGTGCTTTCTACTATGACTGTTAGGGGTAATGTATATGTCCCACATCTTGGGTATCCTGCATATACCACACATATACACAACCTATTCATAAGGTATAATTTACAAACACAAGTATCTTAAAACAGTTTCTGGAACATTATTTCTAGTATACAGATTTAGTATCAGGCCTAGTCTACTAGATTACCCAGTAGTTTCTAGGCATGGAGTATATGTGCGTCTCTGCAAGAGAAAAGGGTATGACATTCATTTGACCAAAACCCCACGCTTCCCTGCTCTCTAGGGTCAACAGCAGCATGCCCTACGTGTATAGTAGGGCTTAATTAACACCAGCAGACGGCCCAGCCTCACGGCTTTTTCTCTAAGTTATGTCTAGTAGGAACACAATGAGTTTCCACAGTTGGGAGTTTCATGTACAACTTTTCAAACAGCCTAGAAAAACAAAACTTCTTCTTTTTAAAGAGTTACTAAAACAACTGAGGTGAGATCTAAGATGTGTTCGAAGTTGGTACTAGCAAACGAACACACACACGCTGGTATAGAGGACAAGCTTGCCGCCTGGCTCTGTCCTGCAGGGAAACATGACTACAGCCCAGTCCCATGTGGGCCTGGCTGCAAGGGCTTCCTGCACTGGGACTCTGGGCCGCAGGAGGCCAAAGAGGCCAATCTGGGCCAGCACTCCCTCCCATGCAGCCTCCACTCACAGAAACGGGGAGGCACACAAAATATACTAGAAACATATGACCAAAGGACATGAAAGGCTTGACATTCCAGAGTAAGATATTCAATGTATTATTTAAAAACCTCCTTGGGGCTGGATATGGTAGTTCATGCCTGTAACCGCAGCACTTGGGAGGCTGAAGCGAGAGGATCATTTGAGTCCAGGAGTTTGAGACTAGCCTGGGCAATATAGTAAGACTTCATCTGTAATTTAAAAAAAATAATAAATTGGGTATGTGGCACACATCTGTAGTCCCATCAACTTGGGAGGTTGAGATGGAAGGATTGCTTGAGCCCAGAAGATTGGGATCAGCCCAGGCAACATAGTGAATGAGACCTTGTCTCTATAAAAAATTTTAAAAAGTTAGTTGAACATGTAGCACGCACCTATAGTCCTAGCTACTCAGGAGGCTGAGGCAGGAGGATCTCCTGAGCCCAGGAGGATGAAGCTTCAGTGAGTTGAGACCTCAACTCAAAAAGAAAAGAAAAAAGAAAAAAATTTCTTGGGTCAGAAAACAATCTTCTTCCTGAAATGGGTCTTTCTTGAAGCACCAGAAGAAAAAAACATGAAGACACACACACCCAGGACGACCAGAGTCCAAGGCCCTCCTGCTGTCTTATAGCCTAGAGCATCTTTCTGAGGTCCAGACAGGCCCATCTTTATTACAAGCCAGGAGACAGAAAAGAAACCACATCAAACTGGGGCCAGTACTACATTTAGAGGCCAACCTAGACCCTAGACTCCCATGAGCACCTGTGTGAGGCCAGAGTTTGCAGGCTCTGGTTGTGTGGTAGCTGCACCTGCAGGCAAGGACCCCAGGCTGTTTTGCTAACACAGCACAGGCTACAGACCTGTCTTGTCTGGGGACCAGTGACAGTTATCAGGCAACGGGAGGCTGAGCTATAACTAGATTGTCCATCACAGGGGTCTGACGCCAACTGGTGACACAGCTCAGCATAATGATGAAGCCATGCCCTCTTGCTGGAACAGGGCTAAAAGCCCACTTTGTCCCTCAGTGCTGACTTGCAGGTGAAAGTACTCAACAAGTGGCAACCTCCCCCCCTCCAAGTCTCAGGCTTCTTATCTGTAAAATGGGTCTTCACCCTTGAGCTATAAGGTTCAGATGAAGATGATTCTTACAAAGCACTTAGTTCAGGGCCTGGGACATGGTACATGGCTCTCAGTTCAAGCAGCACTATCTGCATTTTATCTTTTTTGAGGAATATAAAAGGCCTACATTTTAAAAAATAATCAGAGAAAGCAGATTTGTGAGTGCGTAAAATTAAAGATCTTTAGGACAGTAGAGTTAGTAGGGCTTTCTGCGAATAAGACAGGACTCACACTCCCCATTCCTCTGCGTGGGTATGTAAAGGTTTGGACTGCTCAGAGAGTTCGTGTGCTTTTCCTTTAACTAGGAGTATTACCCTTTCTCAGAAAACGACTTGGTTTTCAAAACCTAGTGTGAGTAAGTGCATTGATCTCACTAAAACACAATATTCTCTTTCTCAATCATTATTGAAAAGCTTCACACAAAAAAAAATAATAATAAAAATAAGTTAAAAAGAAGAAGAAAAGAAAAGCGTCAAAAAAAAAAGAAAACAAAAGAAAAGAAAAATTTCAACCAGTTTTTCACTGACATTGTGTTTGTGAATTCAGGGTCTCAACTGGACCCAAGCCATCAAAAAGAAAGACATTGATCATCAGCTGATACACAGATTGACTTGTGGTCCTCCTGTATTGAGGGTGAATCTGTCTCCAATCCTGTATACTTTTAAAGCAACTCTTTGTGACACTTCTTAGAGGTTACTGGCGTGTTGCTTCCAAATGATCTCAAGACTGATTAAGCTGCATTTACATCAGATGCTTTTATTCTCTGTGCCTATTTTGCTGGTATTTTAGTAACCATGTACTAAAAGATGCCCAACACCTCACATATTATCTTCCTTTTCCCTCATTAAAATTTTATATCATATTCTAATTTTACAGAGGAGAAAATAGAAGCTCAGTAATGTTTTTACAGAGGAGAAAATAGAAGCTCAGAAATTTGCCAAAATCACAAAGACAGAAAGTGTCAGAGCTGAGCCTTGGGCTTTAAGGACATGTAAGTCCAAGGACATGTACTGAAAAACTGCTGCAGTGACCTTGTTAAGTGTGTTCTTGTTTTCTGATGCCTATGACCATCCACTTAACACCTATGATCATCTACTTGATGCCAATGACCATCCATTTAATACCAATGATCATCCACTTAATGCCTATGACCATCCACTCAATATCAATACCTATAACTATCCACTTAATGCCTATGACCAGCCAATTAATGCCCATGACCATCTACTTAGTGCCTATGACCATACACTTAGTGACTATAACCATCCACTTAACGCCTGTAACATCCACTTAATACCTGTGACCATCCACTCAATGCCTATGACCATCTACTTGACATCTATGATCATCCACTTAACACATACAACCATCCACTTAATGCTTATGACCATCTACTTAATGCCTATGACCATCCACTTAATGCCTGTGACCATTCACTTAATGCTAATGCTGATAACCATCCACTCAATGCCTGTGATCATCCACTTAATGACTAACACAGCCCACTTAATGCCTATGGCCATCCACTTAACGCCAGTGACCATTTAATTAATGCCTATGACCATATACTTAAAGCCTGTAACCAATCACTTGATGCCAATGACCATTCACTGAACACCTATAACTACCCACAAAATGCCCATTACCACAGACTTAATGTCTATGACCACCCATTAATGCCTATGACTATTCACTTAATGCCCGTGAAAATCCACTTAATGCCTATGATCATTCATTTAACAACTATGACCATCCAC